CTCAGTTTCGTAAGCAACTCAAGTGGCTTCCTATTCGACTTCGAAGGAACACTCGATTGTTATGTGTCCTCTATAACATTTTGCACAACCCTTCCTCTCCCACATACCTCAGAAGCCGATTTTCCTTCACCCATCCTCCGGACAAACCATGCAGAGCCCTTGTTAAAAATCTTCTTGACTTTCCCGTCTTTAATTCCGGTTATTACTCCCACTCCTTTTCAGTTCACGCTGTAAGATTATGGAACTCACTACCGTCAAATATAAGAAATTCCGAAACTTTGTTGATATTCAAGAAACGTCTTAGAGATAACTACTTTGCATCCTGTTAATTTATATATATATATATATATATATATATATAAAAAATATATATATATATCATATGTAACTATCGTATCAATTATTATTATTATTTATTGATTTATTTTATTTTTATTTATTGTTTTATTTTATATAATTTCCGTAACATTGTGTATATTATTTATTTTTTTGTAGTACTAATGTATGCACTAAGTTTGCAATTTAAATATAATTTCCTTTATGGGTCTACTGGAAGATATTTCAGCGAATTTGGAATAAGTAGAACCTTTGTACGTAATTACTATAAGACTGCTTCTGTACCTTAATGTGTGTACATAAAATAAATAAATAAAAAAAATTATTGGTTATATCGCTTGTATCTCTACATTCTGTATATCGGTACTTATGTCGACACAACACTTATAACGAGCGCACAGTCCACCTGATAGTAAGTGGATGCTGTGACCCATAAACATCTACATTTATTCTCGATTAAGACTCAAAAAGCAGAACAGATGCGTTGTCACCCATGAGTACTAAAATGGAATGCCTCGTTTTGCTATTCGAAACACAGCAGCATTTATCTGCTATTTTACATTGGTATTCTGTGAGAGCGTGGTGCTTCCTCCGACCCGTTCTTGCTACAACCATAATATAGCTGCAGCACGGCTCTACCGTTAGCGTAAACGTGCCCACTGTGACTATTATCAAAGCCATATTTCGCCTCGCACACAACGTTCATTTTAGTTACTTCATTTCGTACTTCTAATGATCGGTACACTCTGAGGCACATATTACATGATTCACGTTCTCCACTACGGCTACTTCCCCGAAACAGCCCATCCAGTTTTTTCATAGTCCATAGTTTTTTATTATAAATGAAAAAAACATACATACATGGGCAAGCATTGATTTCGTTACAGCTAACTTATTCTTCATACTTAACGTTAATAATAAACCTATATTGAATAAAGCTAAATGAACATTTTAGACATCTTTACAGTCAAGTATACAAAACGAAACCCAAATTTTTTTTCTGCAGCCAGCTATATTATGGTTTTAGTACGATTAAGTGTCGGCTCAACCGATGAGGAACCACGCTCTCAAAGAGCACCAACAAGGAAAACAAGGCATTTCATCTTATTTCTCATGGCTGATAACGCATCTGCATTTTGATTTCTAATTAAGGGTAGAAGTAGATGTCTAATGGCCACAGCATCCACTTACCATCAGGTGGACTGTGTGCTCGCTTGTTACCATCATTCTATTAAAAATAAATGAAACCTATCTCCATATCTACATAGGGATTTAATATTTCATGTTATTCAAAAAAAAAATTCACAAACAAAAAAATGTCTGTAAACAGTAAACAAACTCTCTATGGAATTTATTTTTAATTCAACCGGCTAAAGGTCGCTCTTGTACACAAATCAACCTCAATGAAAAAAGCCTCGTCTGGTTTTTGTTGCGACACGAAAGGGGGAGTGCGGACGGTCAGGGGTGCAACCTGCCGACGTGAGGGTGAAAACAAAGGGTTCCTAACTCACAGGCCTGCTGACAATCATGCGGTTATAGGTGGCTAAATATTTGATGATACACACTTGGCTTTCGAGAGCTTTAAGCGGATGAAGACATAACTGAAACTCTGGCGTATATTTTATTTTATTAATAAGGCACACAAACAGATTGAAGACAATACAAAACACATTTACAGTAACAAAAATATTATAACTAGTGTATAATCCAATAAAGTATGCACAGCAAAACAAAATATGACAACAAGTATGACAGAAAAATAAACTAATAATACATAGTACTACTGACAGTTAAAAAAAGAACTTATTTAATGATATTCGTTAAATTTACATATTTAATTTTAACGTAGCAATTACAGATCTTTTAAATTGTGAAATATTAGAATTAAAAATGTCTAGATCAGCGTTACGATGTCTTAGCTCGTCAAAATTTCGATAAATTCTAATGACCAGATTAAAGAAAGATGTTTCTGTAAACATCAAGGCGAAAGATACGCGGGTTACGCAGACGGGATCGACCGATTAATTAAATTAAGCAATTCTGGGCAATCGATGGAGGAATGAATGATTTTGTGAAGGTAAATAAGCTCAAAATATTGTCTACGTTTATCTAATTTCGTAACTCCAAAGTAATTTACTCTACTATTACTACTACTACTACTACTACTACTACTACTACTACTACTACTACTACTACTACTACTACTATTTAATAATAATGACGTATCACTCCTTCATAGAATGGTACTTGTAACGATGAAATCAATTATTTACTTTGATAATCAAATACAAATAGTTTGTACCACTTTTCAATGTTTAAAAAAAAAGGAATGTGAAAATTTTTTCGTAAAAATAATAAGCCAACATTGATCACTCCTGGCAATGCTCTATATCTGCTTGTGCAGTTTCATTGCAATCGGGTCAGCTATTCCGAATATTAGCCCGAAAGCACAAAGTGACGGACAAAAATTTTTCAAATGATTATTTACGTTTTAATAACAAGCAAATAAGTTCCTGAGTTTAATAGAAGCCAGTTATTTCAATAGAATAGAATCTATAACCAATGAAATTATTAATTGCAATTTTAAGTGCTGATTTGTCACGTGCTCGGCGGTGATGGAAAACATCGTTACTAAGCCTGCATGCCTGAGAAATAAGAAAAACAATATTTCGAAGACATGTGAAGTTCGCCAACACGCATTGTGGTAGCGCAGGGAACATTTCCTTGCCCTAAAAACCTCTCAAAAGTGAGAAGTCTTTTGCCCAGCAGTAGGACGTACATAGGTTGTAACTTTAACTAACAATTAGTATGAAAACATTTTGAACCAGCGTGGTAGCGATCACCACATTCCCAAGGGTTATTATCAATGGAGTACTCTTCAGCAGTATACAATTGCACAATCTATACTAACAATTTTTGTTTAATATAAATATTGTTTTAAACAAAACTTGTTAATAAATATTTTGTTTAATACAAGTTTTAAACTTTTTGATAGATAAGGTCTGCATAATTTCTGGGACTTTGTTGTAAAAGTGTGTATTTTTACGCCCCATGCCCCATGAAGGAATTACTGACTTTTTGAAGTCGAGTAATAGATAAAACTAACTTGTGCTTGTTCCTTATATTTACAGAATGTACATCACTCTTTTTAATAAAACTATTTTTGCTTTGTACAATAAATTTTCATAATATTACTGACGGCCACTTCATACGAGTATGTATAGATAGAGTAATGGCTTTCTGTGTTCTACTAAAACGACATATGTACCTGATGTAAATATCCAAGCGATCTTACCAATAATTTTTTTTTTTAATTACACACATAAGTTTCAGAGCAGTGTGAGAGCGAACATTCGGCCGAGGTGGTAAATGGATGTTGTTGCTTATAAACAGCTATCCTCGATTTAAAATCAAAATGCAGATAATAAACTATACATAAAGCATTTATTTGTTTCTCCAATCACACAAGTAAATTCAATGACAAAACCGGGTTAAAAATGGTTTTTGTCCAGTAGTAGATTTTAACGAACTGGTTGAGCTGTATTGGGTGGAATGAAGGGATAAGATTATTAAGGGAGCGACGTTACATTGCATTGATGCCTTTAATGGAAATCGATCCAACACAAATAAGTCTTCAATCTATCTTTATATTATAGAGCCACGCTGCAGCTATATTATGGTTGTAACACGATTGGGTCGGTTCAACCGGGGTAAGACCACTCTCTCACAGAATATCAGCGTAAAATAGCAGCTCAATGTTGCTGGGTTTCGTATGGTGAGTGTATAGAACCAGAGACCCTTTTTACTGGAAATTAGGCCTTTCATCTTAGTGCCCAGGAGTGACAACGAATCTGTGTTTTCTTATTCGAGGATAACTGTAGATGTCTATGAGTCACAGCATCCATTTACCATCAGGTGCATGCTGTACTCGTTTGTCACCCTTATTCTATTTAAAAAAAAAAACTTACCTTGCTCCCCCCTCGACTTCCGATCCGACAAGTTTGCGAGCGTAACCAACTACGCGACCGCCACGAATCCACACAAAATTATTGTCTCGTGAGTTTTGAAGTTAAATAGTAGTTCCTCTACCGCTGCGGACGCTAGTAAAATATCATTCCATGAGTTCTGAGCCTTATTAGATGGATAGATAGATACGAGAAAAGAAAAGAATATACACCTTCAAGAAAAGAGTCTAGGTTCTCTTTTTGAAAAGGCCGGCAATGTATGTACATTCAATTCCCCTGTTGTTGCAGTTGTTTCTGGCCGCTGGTAGTTACCATCAGATGAGCCGCATGCTCGTTATCCTTCTCTTAAATAAAAAAATAAAAGATTCATAAACAAACGTTGATGTGGTTCCGGTAGATTAAATTTTCTAGGGATATAATTTCGTATCAGTAATAAAGAAAATACTTTTTTTTAATTACTTAAACTTAATTACTTAATTGTACTTGATCTAAAAATAGAATATCTAAAAATAAATAAATTTAATTCTATATAAATACTAAATATAGAGACATAGAGGCAATTATAAACCATCCTACGAAAATCAACAATTTGTATTTATATACAAATGGTTTTTGCATTTGAACACAAAATTAGTGACATGTAAGACGAGGCCTTTTTTGTTCAATAATAAATAACTTCATTTCTTAAAAACTGTTCGTATGTTTTTGAAACGTTCCCGTGAGTAATTTGCATACTAGTATTGAAGACGCCTCGCTCTTCTGCCCATTTTACAATTTTATAATATAATTAATAAAGAAATAGTTTATTATAAAAAATAAAGTTAAGCTTAGTAAACTTTAGCTACATAACTTGTGAGTGAAGTGTGTGTGTGGGTGTGTGTGTGTGTGTGAGAGAGAGAGAGAGAGAGAGAGAGTACGTATGTGTATGTAAGTACATGTGTGTGTGTGTGTGTGTGTGTGTGTCTAATTAGGTGTATGAAACTTACACAATTGTATCTATGAGTTTCTCTGTTTCATCATAACTTAAATCTGATAAATAATTAGTTAATATCCTTTTACATAGTTAGTATCCTTTTACCAATTAACGTCAAAAATAATAATTTAATAAAAATAACACCCACGCAAAATCGAGTTTACATTGTTCCTGCTTCGTCAAACGAACCGATGTTTCCTCTTGTCTCACCAATATTTACACGTTAAAACGACATTTCCCAAACAAGACCCTTCATAGTAAAAGAAGGGTCGCAAATCTCAATAAGCAATACTTATAGAGCAGAAAGAGTACCGGTCCTACCAACGAGCCCCGAGGGACACAGCTTTTCATTTAACGTACATATGGAATGTTACGAGGATGTGTTTTGAAGGGGAAGGAAAGGGAGCAATGCACTGCATTTTTTGTCGGAAAATGCCTTTGAATTCAAGCAAACTACAGTCATTACGGATTCGAGTAACACTAGTAGGGTGTAAAAATGCTTTCGTAAAATTGCTTGAAAACATAGAAGATGAATTAACTTGTGTAATTAATAAATAAAATACTAACCCAAAGTACAACAGCATTATAGAATTATTTTAGAATAGAATAGAATAGAATCACGTTTATTCGATATAGATTACAAGAATACTTATTCAAAGTCATAACATTCATACATATTATATACATTATCAATAAATATGTAGCAAGGACTATCATTATTATGCTTAGAAATACATAAGCCTATAATTTTCCATGAGATTTTTATGTGTGTACGAAATATCGACAGCGAGAAATGCATTCACATTTCTTTCTCTTAAATGTTGCTTATGTAGATATGGACGACACACGAGCATACGGTTCCCTTTAAACTGATAGTAAGTGGGTGGTGAGGCCTATAGACCTCACTATCCACTTATCCTCGATTAAGAGTCAACATGCATTGTCACACCCGAGGACTAAGATGGAATGCCCCGTTTCCAGCTAAAAGAGTCTCCGGTTCTCTACACTCACCAAACGAAACAACATGTAACATAAGTGTTAGCTTATTAGCCTTCGTTGTCCCCGCAGGTGAGATGTGGCGGTGCGTGGACAGTGGGTGCGGAGATTCACGCACGGTGCCCTGTGCCCGCGGCAAGCACTCGGCCACGCTGCTGGGCGGGCATGTGTACGTGCTGGGCGGCCGCGGGGCGGGTGGCGCCGTGCCGCTCAAGGACTTCTGGAGGTTTTCTCTAGGTGAGTTATGATTTTGTAATAACGTTATTAACCATTTAATGGCAATGTAAGAATATCCATTACCACATAGCATCCCGTGAGTGTCATAAAAGGCGACAGATGAGATGGGCAGAAGCGTCAATGTAATAACAACTAAAAGTATTATATCTGTGGTTGCCAACTCACTTGCCAAGCATGGCAAATATCCTCCCTATAAGGCATACTATGGGAAAGGCTTATATTCGGCAGTGGACTTAAGAGGGTGTTACAATTACGATTATGATTTCTAATTCCCGTAAGTAACCAGTCCTGTTAATTATTCTTTTGTACAGTTCGAAGAATTTGTCACTCATTACAAACCGACTTACTATTCTTTTGTACAGTTAGAAGAATTTGTTACTCATTACAGGCGACTTTGGCGACCGACATGGAACGAGTAAACACAAAGGCAGGGTATATCATCAAGAGCCGAGTCGTGACACTACAGTTATCAATCTGTTGTCTATCTGGTGGTGGACTGTACAAGTCACTCATTATCACGCTTGGCAAGCAATTTGATATATATATATATATATATATATATATATATATATATATATATATATATATATATATATATATATATATATACAAATATATACAGATACAATACCAGACGGGAGCATATCAGGCATTGCTGTCGATTACAAGTCAAGGAATTTTACGTCTGGCGTAAACGAGATGTATGGTTATAATCGTCATCTATCGGAAGCCACAAGACCTTCCTGGCATTACCAAAAGTCGCCTCTTGCGACACCCATAGGACGAAATAGGGGAAGGTATCCACCTAATAGTAAGTGGATACTGAGGCCTTTTTACAACTAGATCTGTCCTCGATTAAGAATCAAAACGCTGTCTGCGTTTTGATTCGTCATCTTGAGAACTATGATCCAGTGCAGAGCCTCGTTTCCAATGAAAAGAATTTTCGATTAGTACATTCACCATACGAAACACAGCTACATCAAGTTGTTATTTTATTACTTTATTCGTTTGTCACCCTTATTCTATTAAAAAAATAAAAATAAATAAATGATAAACTGTTGCTTTTGCCTAGGGATAAGTTATGTAACTCTAAAGACCGTCAAACAAAACAAAAAAATAGGCAAACGGTGCTAACGCTGCTACTTTTGCCATTATATTCTGTGCTCATTCCTTCGGGTAAGAATGTTACTGGTAAGAGATATAGTTGAGAGCACTTCGCATTGTGCAGCGCTTACTTTGAGCCACGTTGCTCACCGCCCGCGGCTGCACTAATTAGGTCGAGGGCCGCACACAATCGACATACGAGGACGCCAATTAGTAGATATAGCCCTGACGTTGCTTACTAATTTTGGTGGAAGGCCTTATCTTCTTTTTATCTATGATGATACTGGTACAGAAAGTAATAATAAATACTTACAAATTTATTAAGAGCAAAATAATATCATGTATTAACATGAGAAAAATATAATCAATAAATATGCCAAAAGTAAACTTAATTTTGCAATAAAACTATTTTTTACGGATTATATCGAGTAAGATTACCAGCAATGAGATTGGGATGTCGAAAACATCTGTCCCTCCCGCGACAATGGGTGCTGTAAAGTGTTCGAAACGTCGGGAATATAAAATAAATTAATATACGCGATAAAATCTGTAAAAACTAGTTTTATTTAAATAAGTAGTGTTCGCGTAAATATAAGAAATCATTAATTTTGTAAGTCATCATCATCATCATGAGAGACTATCAATGTTTACAGCCAGACAGTATATTTGCCATTGTTGCCACTCTTAGCAGGCGGACTGACTACCGCAGATTTTTGTTATTTTGATTTGTTGTCCATCTTCTGTTTCATTTTTCATTGTTGCCTTTAACGGTACGAGGGGCACACGGAAATGATCGGGAATAAGAAAAACCACATGCACGGTATAGCTAAATTGTATTTTATTGTTTTTCGAAGTATTCTCCGTTCAACTTAACGCACTTTTCCATTCGTGCAAACCAATCATTAAAACAGTAATTCCAGTCTGAAGTTGATGTTGACAAAATGGCTGATTTGTACGCTTCCACAGCTGCTTCGGGGTCTTTAAACCGTTGACCGCGTAATAAATCTTTCATTCTAGAGAATGTAAAGAAATCGTTTGGGCTCAGTTCAGGACTGTACGGAGGATGGCTCATCTGCTCAACGTATCTGCTTCAAAAAATCATTTGTCTTCCGAGACGTATGGGAGCTCACATCATCGTGATGTAAGATGATGAGACGTTTCGGGTTATTTTTTCGGAGTTCGGAGAATAAAGTTAGAGATCATTTCTGGCAAACAAACCGTGATATACCACTCAGCGATAACCGTTCTACGTTCCTGTAAAGGAATTGTAGCAACATGCCCCTTTTTTGAGACAAACGTAGCGACCATTTTCTTTGCCACGCTGCTATAACGAACCACTTTCGTTGGTTTGACCTCGTCTTTGAATACCCAAACTGCTGACTGATGTTTTCTTTCAGGTTCGTATCAATAAATCCATGATCCGCCACCTGAGACGATATTATAAACGGCATTTGACTTCCCTCCGTTGAAGCGTTGCAGAATATTCCGGCACCAATCTACACGAGCCACCTTTTGCTCTTCGGACAATTTGTGGGGAACCCAGCGGGAATCTAGCTTTCTTACACACAGCTCATTATGTAATATCGACTGAATTGCAGTCATTCCGATACTAATAACAGTCCGAATCTGCTCGTATGTCACATGACGGTCATTTAATATAACAGTTCGCACAGCTGCGATGTTTTCAGGCATGTTTTTTTCTTTTCTTGGTCGACCTACAGAAGAAACAGTGCCGAGCGACACACGACCGCCTCGGATCTCGCCATACCAGCGGTATATTATCGTTTGACTCGGTGCTTCAACATCATAAATCGAAACAAGTTCGCTGAGACATTTTTCTTGAGATAAGCCGCGACGTGAATTGTAATAAATTATGGCACGGAAATGTTCACGCGTGAGCTCCATTTTTGTTAACTACGTGTCAATTTTAAACCAACATAGTTTTTTTAAAACCGTTTTAAACATTTTTTTAGTTGTTTGAATGTCATTAAGATTCTAAGAGGCCAGTATTCAAATTCTAAAAAAGGTTTTATTGTAACTCAATTTGAAATATTCTATTCCCGATAATTTCAGTGTGCCCCCTCGTACCCACGGGATGATATTGGGTATTGGATTCTCTTCAAAGGTAAGGAACACGCTCTCACAGAATACCAGCGTGAAATAGCAGCTTAACACCGCTGCGTTTCTTATGGTGATTGTAGAGAACCGGATATCATTTATACTTGGTACGAGAAATTCGATTTTAGTCTTCAAGGGTGATAGCCCATCTGTATTTTGATTCTTAAATCGAGTATTGATGTAGATGTGTATAAACCACAGCAACCACTTACCATCAGGTGAACAGTGTGCTCGTTTGTCAACCTTATTCTATAAAAAATTTATATAGTTTATAGGATATTATAACCAGTTCTAAATGTTACAGCCACAGGTGAATGGGAACGTCTCGAGAGCCGAGGGGACGTGCCGCCTTCACTACAGGAGCACACCGCCACTGCGCACGAGAACAAGCTCTATGTGTTTGGAGGCGAAGCAGGCTCCTCGTCGCACGAGACTCCACTGTGGATATACGACACTGAGGTAGAATTCTGAATATTATAAAAGTTAAAGCTTACATTGTTACGTGCGTACAGGCTTTCTTTTTTACTGAATGTGTTTTGGTGCAGAGATTTCAATGCGTGTGCCGAGCAAATTATTAATCAACAATTATAATGAAAATTAAGAACTTAATTTACCAGCGAGGAGCGAACCCCGGTTACTGATAATTTGCGTACAATAAAATTTCAGTGAGAGCTTAGCAACTGAGCTACCACAACTCTTTATTATAACTCAAACACACACTCGTATATGCGCAATCCGCACGCACACGTAGTAACACACACAAACACGCACACGTATGTGCCCGAATGTACGCATGCACACTAACGCATCTATCGGCTTATTTATTTATTTATTTTATTAGGACAACCAACAATACATACACGAACACAATGTAAATACTAGAAATAACAGGAAAGTTTATATCTAAGTGTCGTCTTAATTAAAGGTTTTGCTAACTTAAATTTTATCTTGGTAAGAATTTAATACGAGGTGAACCCGATTTAACCCAGAGTACCTTATCATTACACAGTCATCACAAAACCGCTTCATATTTAAAATTTTCATAACGCTGACGTTGTCAACTAACAACTATAGTATGTGTAGAAAAACGTACAATAACCTCAGATGTGAGCCGAGTGTCAAAAGGCGTAACTTACAAAATCTCAATTTAGATGTGATAACAATATTTAAATATTGATATTATTCACACTTCTAGGTCAGCACATATTTTTTGTTTTTTTGTTTTTAAATAATATTGTCTGTGGTTCCTATAAACATAGTAAAATCTTACGACACATCGCGAAAAATGTGTTATATTTTATATTTCAATTTATGGTAAGTAACGCAGCAATTCATTTAAAAACAGTTTCATATTAAAAAATATATTTTAAGCAATATAATCACCATATTGAGCTTTTGCAAATTCATCCCTTTAAAATAAACAAGACGCGCGTTACGTCAGATCGTTCTAAAAGAAACGTGAAAATGGCAGCCAGAGATGCGTCACCTTTTTTGGGCCGATGATTGCACCGAATAAAAATAAAGTTCTTATATTATATTGGAAATACAGTTTTATCTTTTGGATAAGTACGTACTTATTCGGTGTTGTTTTCACTCGAATCTTTATATGTGTTATAAATTTATATTAATAAATTAATGCTTTTTGTTAAATGAATAAAGTACTTTATAACAGTAGATGATTTTTCTTCTACAACGATCTTTTACATAACTTTTTAATAATAGTTAATAAAAATATGATTTATCAATCATTATAAAAAATAATGAAAAAATCATTATAAATAAGGAAATTACTACATATAAAATGTGCCTATATATTGAAGGTTTATAACCCCTGGTTAAATGTTTTTCTCAATCGATTTGGCACATACTATAACTACTAACTGTGTCACTATCATTGGTGACACACTACGAGTGACACGCTGCCATTTTAAGATATTATTTTTTATAGTATAATTTTGACAAACGAGCATACAGTTCATTTGATTGTAAGTAGATGCTGTGGCCTTGAGACATCTACATTTATCCTCGATCAAAATCAAATCAAATGCAGATGCGTTATCACTTTTAAGTATAATTAAATCATTTCTAAAATCTTTGAAATGTTGGTTGATGATTACTGTGAAATAGCCTGTTACTTAAACAAAGCTAGTCTCAACATGATTTCTTCAAGGATAGATCTACCGTTTCAACTTGGTGCTACTTAATTTATTCTTGACTAAAGCCATGGATGACAGCCATCAAGTAAACGTTGTGTAGACATATTATAGTAGAGCTTTCGACCGGATTGAACATAATCTACTTTAAAAAAGCTCAATATGTTGGTTTCTGTGGAGACCTACTGCCGTAGTTCTCTTGTTATATCGACAATCGATCGCAGGCTGTAGTTGTTAACAATTATATATCAAGTTTGGTGTCAATACCAAGTGGCGTACCACAGGGCTCCTTGCTGGACCGTTGCTATTTCTTGTATTTGTTAACGGCATTGAAACCTGCTTTAAATCGTCACGCCTATTGTCTTTTACTAATGATATGAAAATATTTTTCACAATCTCATCTCAGGCTGATGCTGAATTACCGCAGAAAGACCTATTAAGATTGAATACTTTAATATCAACAAGCTTGATCTAAACCCATTTAAATGTACCCTTATTACATAAGTTATGTTCTTATTGAATACCCATGTTGACAATATAATAGCTAGGACATCAAAGATGTTAGGTTTTGTTATGCGTACTGCAAAGGAATTTTATTAACATTAAAACGATACTGTACTTACGTTCGCAGTACGTTCGAACATGCTTTGTAGTACGGCGTGCGTAGTGCGCGTTTTTTTACGTGTTCGATACCGATAATGTTATCTACGATTTGTGTGGCATTAAAAACAGTTCCAACTATTGCCAATAATCAGAAACAGAAGTCATGAGTGCGGGTTTATTAAGTCTAACGAACGTCTAAGTTAACGCTCGTGATTGATTGTTTCAAGTATATTGCGATTGCGAGCAGCAATCACATAGATTTTTACTGTGAAATAACAGTTAGTTAGAATTAATTTTATTTCATTATGTGTTGACGATTTTTGCAGCCGCTGAGGCATTAATACCTAATAATAATAGATGACCGCTATTATAACGCCAGTGTTGAAGCAAGAGCTCGTGCATATTTTAGTACGTTGTTACACCTCGATTCGCCAATGATCCCAATACTCGACTCTGTCGATCATTGGCGTCGACATTTCGAGAGACATGCAGTTTCGTAGGCACTTGGAAGGGAAGGCTAACTGACATCAAAAAACATGAAGTGCTCAGTAGATCAAGACGGGATTTCATGTCGAAATAACGCTTGCAGCTTTACAAAGCGCAGATTCGGCCTCATATGGAATAATGTTCTACTCTCTAGCCCCGTGCACCCCAGTAGCTTATTAATTTTAGCTGCTGAATTGCACCAAGTGTACGATACACTGCGTCTGAATTCAAAATTCCATTCTCATTGTCTCGATGGCTGACGATCCACGATTGTGCGATTTGCTATTGTGCTGTGGAATTTACGAGAAAATCAAATGAATTGCATCAAGCAAGCAGTACATCAAATGCATGAAACGTAAATAATGACAATTACGTGGAATGGAATACTAGATCACGTGCAAGCGACTATTGTGTCGCTGCATTCGTCTAATATAGATACGGAATACATCCTTTATGAATCATTATATGGAGATGTCCAAACAATGCGATAAAAAATTTCAGATATTGGAGCAAAGGCCAAAGACCTGACAGGCTATCATGAATATTAGCAACAAACTTCAAAAAGACGCAAGCGAAACACGAAGTACGACCATTTTAGCGGTTCTAGTGCACTTGACGGATTTGTTGAAACAGAAACACCTGGCAAACAGTTTGAAATTGAAGTGTTTGCTGTCATTTTTGATACCTTTCTATCTGCTTTAGATAAACGCATGAAAGCATACTAAAATCTAACTGGTATTTTTAGAACATTCTAATAAGGTGTGATAGATTCTCCATCTACGGCTGAATAATTAGCAGTAGCTTCCGACTTTAGCATCAAAACAATGTTGGTCCATTTGTGTCAAATTGGCATGGTAAAAAAGCTTGACTAACGGGTGCCCTGCGAACTCAATCCTTACCAAAGCCTGCACTGCACAACAAGTACACAAAAAATACTGTTTTTAAACTGCGTTATCATGTAATTATACTAAATCCGAAGAGATTTTGAAAGCAACTCCAATTATGGCCAAATATGTTCAGTCATTATGGAAATGGCTTGGAATATAAATTCCTCATGAATAATTCATTAGAATCAAGTTTCCCCAATTTAGAAACTGCTTAGCGCATTTATTGTCTCCTTTGATCATTAACTGCAGTGTTAAACGTTCATTTTCGACATTGAGCCGTATAAAAAATTAATTTAGGGAACACTATGAGTCAAGAACGCCAAAATTATTTCTCTGATTGTTATTGCTTAGAGAAATTGATACGGATAGTATTATTTCTAAATTTGCCTACATGATAACTAGAAAAGTTACTTCGTAGACGTTTAAAAAGTAATAAAAGAAACAGATAAATAAGTAAGAAATATATCCATAGTTTATGTTTTACATTGATAAAATATAACATTATTCCAGAAAATATAATGCACTTTGTTATAAATATAAGCAGTGAAATATGTGCTAAAAACATCTTCAATTATTTGTTAATATCGTCAGTTTTAAATTGTTAGTTTCTTATCAAAATCATTCTAAATTACCAGGACAATCTCACGTCTGGCTTTTTGTACTTACCAGAGTCTAACAGGGCCTTCAGTTAACTACTGTACTAACACCAACAAAATTGAGTATTGAATTGTTTTTCACCACTTTATACTTAAAAAACCTATGGCAAATCAAGGGCCCCTCGATATAATTTGCCGGCACTGGCTGTTGATTTTACATAACATAAAAATAAAGGAAATAATATAAATAAATAAGGACTAAGATGGAATGTCTCATTTCCAGCAACCAGCAAAAAGGCTATCCGGTTCACACTCAGAATCACGGTACACTCCCCATACGAAATACAGCAACATTATGCTACTATTTTACGCTAGTATTCCGCGAGAGCGTGGTTCTTCCCCATTAGAGCCGACCCATTCATGCTACAACAACAGTTAGCTGCAAAATGACTCAACTACGTATAAGACTTATTTCAAGGCAAAGGAATCTTTCTACTGCTTTCTACAGAGTGACAACTGTGGCACATATCCCCGCTATGAAACAATCTATGGTCTATGGGGGAGGCCTATATGTTCCACCTTACGTTCAAAAATTGGTTTTTATAAAGGAATCTATGCTCTTACAGCCTAGTATGACATGTGTTAAGTTAGTAAAATTCTTTGGTTTCAAAATGTTTTTGTGGAATTTTCAACGGAAGCTTAAGGAAATAAAAGCAAAGTAATCACATCATTAAATTAATAAAGTCAATATTTGACACATATTTGTACTGTCGGGAGAATCCTTATCAAGATTGTATCCTTGATACAAGATGGATACATCTCTGCTAGGAGAGGCTATAGGACTAACTCGATCAGAAGGTGATTTTTCTGAGTCGTCGAAAATTTATTTCTTCTCAGTAAAAATATTTTTGGCACTGATATATTATGTATGTGAAACAATGCACTCACTCCACGCAGTTGCAAGTATGGCGTAAGGTGCCCGGGAATCCAAGGCCTGCACACGCGCGGCGGTCTGGCAGCGCGGGGGAGCGGGGCGAGGTGTCGCCCAGCGGGCGCCGCGGCCACTCGGCGCACTCACTGCGTGACTGCCTGCTGCTCTACGGCGGCTATATGGACCTGCGAGGCTCCACTAATGAATTATGGGCTTTCCATTACGGTAATATTATATGCTCCGCTTTTAATTCCATAGAATAAAACACAATGTTGCTTCGTTTTGACAAATAATAAATAATGATGCCCAGTAATTGGTAAAACAGTGTTAGATGTTTATAAAAAAGACTTTAATAATAATAATAATAATCGTCGCGCGCTCAAAATGGATGTCGGGGCGGCGGTCGTGGAACCAAGGAACCACTCCTCATTGACGCGGTCATTGGCAAAGTGGTGAAACGCAACCGTCGGAACTTCTCCGCCGCCTGGATAGATTACAGAAAGGCATTTGACTCGGTGCCCCATACATGGCTAAAGAGGGTCCTCGAGCTGTACAAGATTGACTGTACAGTTCGAGACTTCCTCGAGCAGTGTATGGGGCAGTGGAGTACGATCCTCTGTCATCTAGGCGAGCGGATGACGGCTGCGGAAAGCCGCATAAGGATAAGAAGGGGTATATTCCAGGGCGACTGTCTGAGTCCAATCTGGTTCTGCCTCTCTTTGAACCCTCTCAGTACTTTACTGGAGGGCTCCGGGAAGGGATTTCAGCTTCGGAAAGGAGGTACAAAAGTGACCCACCTTTTCTACATGGATGACCTCAAATTATTCGCCTCCAGTCGCTCCCATCTTATGGAATTGCTAAACATCACGTGTGAATTTAGCAATTCTATTAGAATGGAGCTGGGGACGGATAAGTGTGCGGTCCTCCATGTTAAAAGGGGAAGGGTTGCTAACTCTGAGGGTATAGACCTATCTATGCCCGTCAACTTAAGAACCCTTTCCGAGGCTGAAACATACCGATACCTGGGTATGTCACAGAACATCGGTCTCGATGAGGCTGGTATGAAACAGTCAGTTTGCGACGTGTTTTATGCACGCTTGACCAAAGTGCTTAACAGCCTTTTTGTCCGGTGTGAATAAGGCACACGCATATAACGGTTGGGTCATGCCTGTCCTCATGTATACCTTTGGCATACTCAGGTGGACTCAGACTGAACTTAACGCCCTGGATAGAAAAGTCCGCACTACCATGACGTCCCATAGGATGCATCATCCGAGATCGTCGGTAATGAGGCTGTACTTGCCGCGGAAGCATGGTGGTCGTGGCTTCTTGAGCGCGCTCACCATGCATAATCACGAAGTGTGCAGCCTCCGTGATTACTTCCTTGCGAGATCGGATGATCCATTCTATAAGGACGTCATTTCTTGTGATAAAGGACTTACCCCTCTATCCTTAGCCAACGAGCAATGGCAAGACCCGGCAGTGCAGAGCATTTCCGACCGGGGAGACCGTATGGAAGGAGAAGGAGCTCCACGGGAGGTTCTACAAGGCTCTACATGAGCCTTTCGTAGACACAGTAGCCTCCCTCCACTGGCTACGCTTTGGTGATCTCTTCGGGGGAAACCGAGGGTTTTGTCTGTGCAATACAGGATCAGGTTATTAAGACCAACAACTATCGGAGATACATCCTAAAGGATGGCACCGTCGACATCTGTCGAGCTTGTCGCCATCCCGGTGAGTCACTTAGGCATGTTATCTCCGGTTGTTCGGCGCTTTCTAACTCTGAGTACTTGCACAGGCACAACCTAGTAGCCAGAATTCTACACCAGGAGCTCGCTCTGAAATACGGTTTCGTGGATCGGAAATTGCCGTATTACAAGAACTTGCCGGAAGCCGTGCTCGAAAATGATCCGCCAGGCTCTATTAGGACCGGGCCATCATCACAGACAGGACTATTCTTGCGAATAAGCATGATATTGTGCTGATGGACCGGGCACAGTCAAGGATATTTTTTGGTCGACATTACCATTCCGTATGACGAGAACCTCGTGAAAGCCGAAACAGACAAGAAAACAAAATATCTGGACCTGGCTCACGAGGTGACCGACATGTGGGGTGGTCTGCCGACCGTAATTATTCCTGTAGTCGTCTCTGCAAACGGGCTAATCCCAGTCAGCCTCTCGGGTCATCTGAGGCGGCTGGGACTACGTGGCGGACCGCTCCAGGTTCAAATGCAGAAGGCGGTGCTCCTCGATACCGCCCGCATCGTCCGCCGGTTTCTTTCCCTTTCCCCCTAACCCTCGGCCGTTTGGTCTCCCCTGCCGAGGGCCTCCATTTGGTTGGGCTTTTATTTATTTATGTACTTTTATATTTATTTTATGTTATTGATATTTATGTATATTTATCTTTTCATTTTCATTTATAATTATATATTTATAGAACCCAACCAGATGAGAAAACTATATAGATACCCCATAATAATAAAAGTTTATTTCATTTGTTATTTTACAATTTTTATAGGGTAGGGAGCATCTTTTAAGTACCTTATGGCACTTGTGTCAGAGACTCCCGCTCTTCCATAGCTAAACAAAACGTTCAAGAGAAATGAGATTACATATACAAAAAAAATTATAATATTCAAAAATAAATGTGTGTGTGTGTGTGTGTGTGTGTGTGTGTGTGTGTTTGTGTGATTTTTTTCTCTCTCATCCTATGTGTCGAAACATAATTTTTTCTGTGTCTTCGTAAGACAGGCTCTTTAGCCAATTTATAATCAAAATCTTGCAGTCCTTGGCATTTCTACAGTAAATATTAAGCTTTTTGATTTTTGATTGACAAAATTATATAGATAGATAGATTGGTTAATGAACTGACGTCTAGCGAATGCAGTTTTAACACAAAATGAATTAAGTACAATGTCTTTTCTTCGTTTGTTCAAAATATTTGTTATACTTTTCTAAAATACTGACGGAAAGAAAAAGCAAAGTGCAGAAATTAAATGAAATGGCGATTTCAGTTGTTTCAGCAAGTCGTCTGACATTTCGCCTTTAGTTATATGACAGGTTCTAGATCCACTCATTTATAAAATTGATCAAGTGAGGACATTCTTGTGTAAGATATGAGACGAGAACATCAGGGACTTCCCCATTCTTTAGCGTACTTGAACTGTGGGAAGGCCTTTGGCAGAGTTCAGTACGATAACCTTTTTGACAATTATGAACAATTGGGTGAAAACGTTCTGTGTCTGGTTGTGTGTTCTGGTCGCTCCGAATCGTTGAAGACTGCTTGTGCGACGCTATATTTACTAACGTAGATCTTTAGGGGTCATTAACTTCCTGCAAACAGTCTTCGAATAAGGTACTGTAAATCTTGCGAGTTTCAACGCCTCTCAAACATAAGCACGTCCCTTTACCTTCAAACAGAATTCGCATTCTGTCTGGATGCTTCACCTTGTTAAGAACCAAAGTAGCCGCAAGAAAAATAGGTTTTTGCAAGGGAGCGACTGTAATTCACGCCGAGGTAGCTTCTAACCATATACGAGTATAAAACACAAGTACGTTCTTGTATGGAGTACTGCTGTCACAAATAGGTTGGTGCTATTATTGTGCAGCTGGTAATGTGAGGGTATTTTGTAATCTTAATTTGGTTGGCACTGATCTTGTCATCCTCGAGCACAGGTGGAAAGCAACCAGATTCTCGGTTATGTACCAAAATTTACATATCTGTTCGCTTTGTTGGCATTATTTCACACATTCTAACATAAAACAGTTTGCTTTGTCAGTCGTAATGAGTAGGTACAGCAAATAAATACAATAGTTTGCTTTTCATTTATATTATTCGTACATTGACTTATGTATTACTAGCGTAAGGGGACCGGGCCGACCGAACAAATTAAACTGACCAGTGCCTTGGCCCTAAAATTACAGTTTAGGGCCAACGCTCGGTCTTCAGTGGTGCGCGCGCAGGACAGATTTGTCTGTCATAAATATGTCTGGTTGCGTAGTAAAAGGATGCAAAAATTACGATACAAAGATTAAAAAGGAACATGAGATATCGTATCATCGGTAAATAACCCTATATTAATTTTGTTACAATAAATTATTATGTAAACGCATTTTTAAAGCTTTATTTTACAGTTAGTCAGTTTAGTTACATTACCAATATTAGACCAGGGATGGATTCAGACCCTCCAAAATATTGTACATGGAAAATAAAGTCGTACTATTTGTCAAAAATTATATCACGTTTGATGTTTCATGTTTCTTTTTATCCCATGCGCCGGGATTTCGGCGTCACGCGTCTACCGAAACGTTTAGATAAACTAGGCTTGTTTGACGGTTTTATTTTTATTTCTGTTTTACTTTTGTCTAAATAACTTATAAGCTTAATTTTGAAAATAGGTACCCAATATATTTTATATTCAATAAGGGTAAAACGAAAAGAGTACAAAAGGAACTATACCTACTTAATTCAAACTGAAACTCTGATTCATAAAATATTTTGAAATTCTGTTCTCAAACCGATTGCTTCTGGAGCATAGAGTTTTTATCGCGGTAGCCCCACATTATAGTTGTATCAAGGATAGATGTAGCGATCGAGCACTAAATGACTAGAAAGGGAGCTAATGCTAATTTTATAAAAAACGCGGTACTCGTGTTCAATACAAAAATTTTCGATACCGTAGAGTTAATATTAAAAAGTAAAAGGACCCAATAATAATACAAGTCGGTCGGCCTTAAGGTAAAATTATGGTATTTTCGCTTAGTATTATTACGATACTACATACACACTGTGAAATAGTGGTACAAATACTATAACTATACTACGAAATCCGACCCCGGTTACGTCGTGTTATGACGTTTGTATGTATAGTCCGTTCGCGTTAAGAAAATAGTGAGTCATCAGTGCAACTACAGGGTAAAGGTGTATTCACAGTGGAGTAAAATTTTTTTTTTCAAACATTTAATTAAGTTTAATGGAAACAAATTTTCTTAAAATTACTTAAATCACTAATCAATTTATTATGAAATAATAATAATAATAATAATATAATAATGTTTTATTTGCTGTAACAGTTTAAGTACTTAGAATATATGTGACCAGTGTCTCCTTTTAAGCTTGAATCAGCCTGTGCCAGGGGACACTGCTCTTCCTTAAAATAGGTCATTTCTTACAAGAAAACTTAATAAATAATAATTACGAAACAAAATAAAAATATATAAGTA